TGGTATCCCATACCATCCTTATTAATAAATTGAGGAGATTTGCCTTGGATGATTATACAGTAGAATGGGTAGCAAACTGGCTCAGGGGTGACACTCAGAGGGTGGTGGTGGATGGGTCAGTGTCAACCTGGATAGATGTGTGCAGTGGAGTGCCTCAGGGCTTAGTTCTGGGGCCAGTGCTGTTCAATATCTTCATAAGTGATCCCGATGATGGGGTGGGAAGCACCCTGTTCAAATCTGTGGATGACACAAAAATATGGGGTGAAGCTAACACCCTGGAGAGGAGGAACCAGATCCAGGCTGACCTCGACAGGTTGGGGAAGTGGGCAGAGAGCAACAGGATGCAATTCAATAAGGACAAGTGCAAGGTGTTGCATCTAGGCAGAAAAAACTGCCATCATACCTATAGGCTGGGGGCAGAAAGAGATCTTGGAGTCACTGTTGACTCCAGGATGAACATGAGTCATCAATGTGATGAAGTACTCAGCAGAGCAAATTGCACCTTGTGCATCTGTAGATGCTTCACAAACAGGTCCAGGGAGGTGATTCTCCCTTTCTACACGGCAATGGTCAGGCCACAGCTGGAATACTGTGTCCAGCTCTGGACACCGCAGTTCAAGTAGGTGCGGACAACCTGGACAGGGTCCAAAGAAGAGCCAGTCATCTAACTGGAGGCCTGCAGGGAAGGCCCTACAAGGAAAGGCTAAGGGACCTTAACCTTTTCAGCCTCTCCAAGAGAAGGCTGAGAGGGGACCTTGTGGCAGTGTACAAATTCATAAGGGGAGAGCAACACGAAGTAGGCGATGATCTGTTTACCAGGGCGCCCCTTGGAATAAGAAACAATGGCCATAAGCTACTGGAGAGTAGGTTTAGACTGGACATTAGAAAAAAGTTCTTCATGGTCAGGGTTGCCAGGATCTGGAATGGGCTTCCCAAGGGAGGTAGAGCTCGTCCCATCCTTGGGGGTCTTCAAGAGGAGAGTGGACAGGCACCTGGCTGGGATCACATGATCCCAGGTTTGGTGACCCTTTTCTTGCCTGCCGGGGCAGGGGGTCAGACTAGATGGCCCACTGAGATCCCTTCCAACCCTAGAATCTATGAATCTATGAAACATCTTACAGGCAAGCTAAGGAAGTATGGGCTAAATGAATGGACTGTCAGATGGATAGAAAACTGGCTGGAGGATCAGGCTCAGGAAGTAGTAACCAATGGCTCAATGTCTAATTGGCATCTGGTAACAAGTGGAGTGCCCCAGGGGCCAGCCCTGGGGCCAGTTTTGTTCAATATCTTCATCAGTGACTGGAAGGGCATAGAGTGCACCCTCAGCAAGTCTGCAGATGACACCAAGCTGGAGGGAGTAGTATATACGCTGAAGGGTAGGGCTAGGATGCAGAGTGACCTAGACAAATTGGAGGACTGGACCAAAAGGAATCTCATGAGGTTCAGCAAGGACAAGTGCAAAGTCCTGCACTTAGAACGGAAGAATCTCATGCACTGATACAGGCTGGGAGCTGACTGGCTGGCCAGCAGCTCTCAGTAATGCCAACTCTTGCAACAAATTGTGAGACTCGCGATTTCCAAGTCAAATCAACTCTGAATAATGATGTCAGGACAGAAGCCTCAGATCTCAAGAATTTTATTCTGGCATGTGTAGAGAGTGCCCAGCAATCTGTGGTAAGTCTGTGGAGGGAAAGGGGCAGGGGTAGAGGGAAGGGACGAGGGGAGGCATATTGAGGCTCCCATGGTGAGGGAAGTAGTGGGGCAGAGACTGGGGTAAATGGGGCCCCAGGGCAACAGAGCTGTGGGCAGCTCATCCAGAGGTGTGGGGGAGGGGGATATGGCTCCCTGCCACTGTGCACACCCCTGGGGGAGGCACTGGGGGCATATGCCCTCTGGATTTGTGCGTGGGACAGAAGCAGGCTGCCCACTCCGGGATCGGGCTCTGCGCCCTGCCGCCTTTGCCCTGGGAGCCACACACTGGCTGCACTGTGAATCCTCTGCCCACTCAGCGGGCAGCAGGAGGCACACATGATGTTGCATGACTCCCAGGGCAAAGGCAGCAGGGTGCTGAGCCCTAGCCCACCTCTGCCCCATGCACAAATCCAGGGAGCACATGCCCCTCATGCCTCCCCTGGGGGTGTGCACGGAGCTACCTCCGCCCCCTGCGCCTCTGGATGAGCTGCCTGCAGCTCTGTCACCAACCTGTGACCTGACCCATCTGTGTGTCTGTGTGTCTATGTCTCTGTGCCTCACTCCCAAGCCACAACCCCCCTAGTCTTGCTGCTGCCCCTCACTCCTGACTCACACTACCCTGCATCCTGCCAGGGTGTGCAGGAACCCCCCTCCCCGGGCTCCAAACCCCACACGCACACCTACAGTCCCCCATACCTTCACAAATAACGCCCTGCCTTCCCCAACACACACACTTCAAAAATAACATCTCATGATTTACACACCAAATCTCCTGATTTTTAAGAGTTTGTCTTATGATTTTTTATATGGTGGGGTTGGCAATACTGAGCTCTGCAGAAAAGGACCTGAGGGTTACAGTGGACAATAAGCTGAATATGAGCCAACAGCATGCCCTTATTGCCAAGAAGGCTAATGGTATCCTAGGCTGCATTGGCAGGAGTCTGCTGTTTGTGAGCAGCAGCTCAAGACAAGCATGGTCCCTAGTTGACTGCTCCAACATTTGCACCAGGAAGTTGTTCTCAACACTCTCCAAAAACTTCCTGGATTGCCTGCACACTGCTGTACTGCCCTCCTAGCAGATGTCAGGGTGACTGATGTCCCACATGAGAACAGGGCCTGTCATCGGGAAATTTCTGCTACTTGTTTGAAGAAAGCCTTATTCACTTCATCCTTCATGACATCATCCTTATTGCTCTCTCCTCTAACCCTAACCCAGAGACTTTCTCCAGTTTCATACTGGAGCTCTGACCAATCATATGGCTCTTTTTACATAAAGTGCAAAGAGAAGTGAATTACTGACCAGTAACAAGTTCTGCAAGAAGCACTGTCCAAATCCATATTCCATTTTAAATGTATATACACCTCAAGCACTGGAGCCTAGAGACTCTAGTATTACCCACACTGCCACTCCTCATGCTCTGTGCCAACAAAAGCCACCAAGAAAGAAGGCTGTCTTTATGTACAGATGCTGCAGTGACCAGGTGGCCTTTTTTTCAAATGGTGGACTCATCAGGGCAGCAAGGGCCAGATATACAATCTACTAGAAGTAGCTCAGTTAAGCCTTTAGGAACTTAAATGCAGGTATTTAGGAAAAGACAGAAGGATCCTCCACAGGAGGGTGGTGAGCTGTGAAAGAAGGCAGGTACCCTGTGACAGAGGTGAGGTCATGACAACTTAGCTCTAGAAGGTATTTTAAAATGGCTAGAATGGAGGTCTTGGGCAGAGAACAGACAACAATATCATGTGACACCAGTCAAAACCTGGTTGATTAAACCAGGTAACAACATTCCGTAGAGTCTTCCTGCTATGGATGAGAATGCCTCTGACAGGAGATGAGCAGGCTCATGCTATCACTGACCACCATCCAACATCCAGGCTGAGATGCCAGGTAATTGGATCTAGATAATCTCCCTTGGTTCTAGAACAGCTCTTGAAGTAATAAGGAGAGTCCCCACTGGAAGCTGGATCTGGAGAATCCCTCCATTTTGGGGACAAATCCTGGGGTCTGGATAAGGAAAGCTTGCAATGTTGAGATGCATGATTCCCAGGTGGCAGGACCTGTCCCTGGAATTCTCTCTTGAAGAACCACACAGTGCCTTGCTGACACTGGACCTGAAACTAAGAAACATGAAGGGCAGGTCCAGAGATTCAATGTCTACTCCGGAAAGGATTCCATGATCATGGGGAGCACAAGGGTAGGTTGACCTGGAACTGCAATCATCCTTTAAGTAAAAAAAAAAAGTCAGAAAAGGAAACCTCAACTACTGGTTCTGGTGACTAGAATGGAAGTCTAGTTCTAGAACAGAATTGCTCTGATGACTAGAATGGAAGTCTTGTGCAGAGAAATATTTCATGACACCAATGCTTTGATGGACCTTCTGACACTAGTGCTAAAATCCTTGGTGCCAGATCATCAATTCTCTGATAGCTAGATGCTAGTGTCAAAGAGCTAAAGAGTGCCTTGGAATATGTTCTTTTGCTTTTTAGTCATTAACAGGATGGATTTTCCAGAATGGGGTGTGATGCTTGGTTTGCTTCCAAGCACAGTCCTTCTGAGCCCAGAAATGGAATGATTTGCATTTAGCGTGTTTCCTAGGGATCTGAGACTCTCATAAATGGCAAAGGACCATGCATGGCAAGCATAACCCTGGTACCAGAGAGACTTATATTGAAATCAAGTGACCAGGGGAAGCTATGCTAACAGATGATAGCAAGGCCTGGTCAAAGCAAGGAGAAAAAGGAGTCTCATTTAGCTACAGAAGATATATTGCACATGGCAGGAGAGCCCTCAGTCCTATTCCAAAAGACAGAGCCTGGACCAAAATGGAGAAAAATAATAAAAATAAACTAAAATGGTTTAGAAGATTTCTTCTTTAGAGAAGAAAAAGGGTAGAATAGGTAAATTTGTGGAATGTGTACTTGGCCTGCAGCCAGTCTGGAACAGAATGCAGAAGCTCAATTTTGAGCCAAGATGGTTGATAAGAACTGAAGAGTGGAAAGTGCATACAATATCCTTTATACCAGTGGCACAGAGTGCAAGGAAAGTTAGGATTTATGCATGGTGTACAGGTACTTGCCAGGGCAAAAAATATGTCTCTGAACAAAAGTGCTTCAGTGTTTATATGCACAACAAGAGTGGAATGTAGATGTGGATAGGAACTGCTTTTTCAGTGACTTATACTCTTTTCTGCTATCTTAAAATTAGCCATTATTTTTAGCCCCAAGTGTGAATTTGAATTGAATATTTTTATTTATTAGCAAATCTGAAAATCAAGCAAGGGATGAGCAGATATCATTCAGAACTCTACCTCCATTCTGCCACGTGCACAGCTTAAAAGCAATAAGTTGGCTCTGTTCCTTTCACTGGACATAGGAGACCAAGGCCATGCTCCATCATTAGTAGCTGACCACCAGCAAATGATCATATCTTGCATACAATTTATTGCCAGATGACGTTTCATCCTCCTATTTTCTGGTCCAGGTATGTCAACATAAGAAATCTAGCAGAAAAAAGAATTCAGAAAATACTTAAAAGTTATAAAACAATATATTTGAAGGATTAAGGTGTAATTACTATACATGTCTGCTGAGATTTATATACTCACAGATCCTCTATGTTCATATAGGTATATATAGGCTGCATTTAAATACATATCTAAATATAAGAAATCTCTCTCTGTATAGAAAGAGACATGTTCACATTCAGTTTTATTTATGGGGAGGGGATTGGAAAGGAAAGGAATGTGAGTTAAAAAGGAATTTACAGCAATGACTCCAATCAATACCAAAATGTACAGTCATGGTTGCTTGACAGCATCGACCTACACACAAGGATTTAAGCCCAGCCATATAAAATGACAAGTTCTGTGATTCTGACCAAGGAGTTAAGCCTACTGTTTAAGACACATCATCAAACATTAAAGATAGTTCACAATATTTAAGAAAGAATGAATTTCAACCCCCAATCAATGAATGCAGCCAAAAATATCCATTTTGTAACAGAATATATACCTTTCTGCATAATGTGGATGAGCTACAGCATCATGCGTAAAGTTTATGCAGCTCTTGAGAATTGTGCCTCTATTTCTCAGGAAGGATTTGTGGAATTTATTATTCAAACTATGTTATTTTGGAGCATGGTTATTTGAAAACATGAGCAGTGCACCATCTGGGTGACACATGCCAAGGAAATATAGATTGCACCGCATTTCTGCTTAAGGAATTAATGGAAGGTTGATAGCTAGGGGAAAAAAAACTATCTTGCCATTGCTGGTCAGCAATAATCGAACCACTTTCTGGGGATTAAGCGCATGGCTAAGCCTACTGGACCAGACACTAGCAAAGGGCAGGGGGTCTTCTTATCAGAGAAATGCTTCTGGAGCCAGTCTCACTACATGACAGATTGCTTTCATATTCCTGTCTGCAAGGCAACAAAGGATGGCAGTAATGCGATAATGCCAGAGTGCAATGGGTGTTAAGAACCCGTTGCATTTATGTATTGTATTTAGTAAATAATCAGGCTCATCCAAATTGTGATCTCACCACTCAACCAAGGCCATTAAAATCAAGGTTAATGCTTTAATAATCCTTTGCTGTTTTTTTATATGGTCAAAAAGAACCCTTTTCTATTTGCATGGTCATAATATTATTGACCTCTTCATCCCCTGAATACACATCAAAAGGAACTGAAATCAAAGTAATTACCAATGTTGTTCTCTCATGGTAAACATTTAACTCCTTGTACTGTCTCTTCACTGTTCAGTAAATTGAAATGGATTAAAAAGCCAAAGACAGGAAAACTTGTAAAAGGTCAATATTATCAGTATATTTATCCTGCAGTTTCATTTGTTAAAATTCTGTCAATTTAAAATATAAAAAATGTGGTATATATGCAGTTTAAAAAAGAAACTCTGACATGACCACTTATTTTTGTATAAATTTAAAATGTGTGCAGCATATTTAGAATTGCTTAATGGGTACCAAACAAAATGCATTAATTAGCATTATACTGCAACATTAACCAATCATGTACTAATTTACAATGTAATATTATTTACGAACATTTAAAAAGAAACTCATTATTTCTGATCAATTACACTTAAGAAAGCACCTTAGACACTGACTAATCCCACTGAGAAAAGGAAAGTGGTTTGAGTTGCTGTTATACTTTGTTGCACTCCAAGACTATATAGCTCTGCTAATTCACATAACAGCTCAAATAGTTTTTATGCAGTGGCTCTATCTTGCTATAAAATTCAAAGTAGTATCTCTCTTAAAAAGGTAAAAGATGCCCATACTGATTGATTTACTTGGATATATCTGTTATGCAGATGGAACTACTAGATACATACCAATCATCTGTATTTTAATATGTCATCAAAAATTAGAGTATATTCTAAAGGTAAAAAATAAATCCCAAAACTAGTGTATATCCCCATAGCCAGGAATACACTGAAGTGAACACAAGCTACTCTCTGCCTCCAAACATGAAAACAAAAAATAAAAATTATCCACAAAGTTAAAAAAAAACAAGTCTGACTTGTTCTCGTTATTTGTATTTCAGTTTTTCCTAGAGGCCCTGACCAATATAGGTTACAATTTTGCCATTTCCTGAACATGCATAATTAAAGAGAATTCCTGTACTGAAGAGCTTACAACTTAAGTACATAACAAAGACAGAAAATATTATCCTCATTTAACAAATGGGGAATTGAGAGACAGAAATATTAAGTGATCTGCTCAAGGTTACAAAGAAAGTGTGTGGCAGAGACAGACTGAACTGAGATCTGGGTCCCAAGTCTTGCATTAACACCAAGCCAGTCCCTGTTCTGTTTCTGTCCTGTGCTCTGCGTGCTATGCTTAACTTTGAAAGAAATACTCCACCCCTATTAATAAAGTTAATATTTAGGAAGCGGTTTAGAAAACAAGACAACCTTGTTACAGCTCTCCAGGCTTCCCATTGAGGACTATCTCTGATCCCTTATTGTTGATTGGAACTCTACTGCTGACTGCTGGTGATCTAAAAATGCAATGTTAGTGTGATCAGGGAGAAACAGGATTCAATGTATTTCACTGCAAAGAGTTGACAAAATAGTATAATAGTGAATAATATTTTCTGTTGCCACACACTGGTGCAATTTTGAAGATAATAAAAATTATATTTAGCTGCCAAATAAGCAAGCCTGACACAAAGGAACATTCAATTAAAAAATGCTAATGCCTTTTTTTTGGCTGGCAAAAATATAATCCATAGTGATTCCTACTGATTTCTAGAGAAAGCAATGTTAATATCATATGTGGAAGTCTTCTAGAAGCTCAGCTTTGTCAGCAAACAACGAAACATAACAACCCTATTAAGAAATCTAGGAGCTATTTCTGGTTTCCTAGCACAGTGAGAGGTTTCTATGGATTAGCTTTTCCTTCTTTCCCAAGAAAAATGCCATCACAGTTAGGCCCAGAAACGTGCTTAGCAGTACCCAGAATAAAACTGAGTTACAAGAGTATAAAGCAAGCACATGAAACATGGCCAGTAAAAGAGAAGGCTCAAGGCAAGCATTAGCTCACTAGTTTTTTTCGTTAAAGTTTAGGAGTATAAAAAAAATCGCCAACCTGGCTTTTAAAGCGTAACCTTAACAAATACTATAGGCAAGGCACAAGTGCGCATCATTTTAAAGTAAACTACGTATCAGCTCAGTTCCTGGTGAACAGTGAACTGTCTCAAATCCACGTTACAGAGGTTGGATCAATCTCGCAAACACAAGTCACTGCTGAAAAGAGGCCTTGAACTGAAACAGCCTGGAAAATGTATTAGATACTCATCCTAGCAGAAAGCATTTCTACCAAGTTAAAATGTAATATGGAAAACTTAAATTAAACACATCTTTAAAAAGCCTGCCTTACAGATGGAAACTCCCTTACATGAGAAAGGAAATTACTTCAGGGTTGTGATGGGAAAAATACTAGCTAACATAAGGTGGTTTCCCTTAACATTTATCCTGGTTGTAATAAGTACGACACTCTTCCTCTTGTTTACTACATCTTTGTAGCTTTTTTGAGAACAGCTTCTTCTTTATCCTTGCAGTGAATTGGAAAACAACCCCTTCCTTACCTAATTTTCCTGTCTGAAGCTGATGCTCTGCAGAAACTAAAGCATTAATATTCTTTCCATTTCAGTAGCACCTAGGTCCCCTCTCTGAAGCTGAAGTCCCATTTCACCACAACCAGAAAGCTTACCAGTTCAGTGTCTTGTACTGGAACCTGCCTGAGAAGCAGGGTAAATTAGCCTGTACTAAGCTCTATGTTGCCGCAGCTAGGCCACTATTACTACTTGAGTTGGCTTATTTAAACCTAGCACAGATATGTATACCACTCTGCAGTCACAGATGTGACTGTGGCAGAGACCTATCCCAAGCAGGAACAAGGCAGTATTACAGGGCGCATCTACACATGCACTTTAATGCACACTATTTTAGTGTGTATTAAAGCATCACATAAAAATCCGTGACATTACGCTAATGCACAGTAAAATAGTCTCCTGCACATTGTGTCACTTAAAAGCCGAGCAAATGTGCTACTGTGCATTAGCACAGCCTAATACACTTTAATTTAGTACCTCACATTGGAGGGTGCCAATGTGTGTGGAGGCTGCTCCGACATGCTGGAATTCCAGTGCATCAGAGCAGATTTGATTGAGTCTTCTGGAGCGTGGCAATTGCCGTACTCTAGCAACCTCCTGCGTCTCGAGTATCAGCGTCGAATGACCTTTAGTTCAAGCACCCCCACAACTATTTTGAAGCACAGGGACCCTGATACATGAGATGCGGCAATGCTTTAATTGAAGTAGCTCTCATAGCTGCTCTAATTAAAGCACTGCCCGCCCTCCACCCCTGGAGCATGTGTAAAAGTGCCCAGAGGTATGAAATTTAATGCACATTAGAAAAGGCGCATTAATGCACGTGTAGACGTGCCCACAGTGTGATAATCTGATAGGGAACTGAGCAAGATTAAGCCACATATCCAAGGTAATGCATACAGGTTAATGTGGTGCAAGGATTTGAACACTGAGCCCTTGTCCAAAGCTATAATCACAAAGCCATCCTTTCTGCCATTTTTCCTAGACCTGGAATATACCTAAAATAGGTATATTGTAACTAGAAAGAGAATTAAGGCTTGGATGAGTAATTGTAAATTACTCTATATCATATATATTAAAATTGACCCCCAACAGCATTTTAAAACATGTTCTAAATATATCAATTCCATGTTTTCTGACTTTGTAATAAAATGTTGTTTTTAGAATTTAAAATATTTTGATGAGCTTAGCAGAATAGTCTGATTTCAAAGATCAGTAATCCATAATATTAAGTTACTATGGTGTTTAAAGACATCATTGACAGCTGTACCTTAAAATCCAAGGATGAGAGTTTTTCAAGTCTTTTGTTTATATCAGGAGAACCTGTCTTCTTTGTAAACTGAATAAAGCAGAGTTTGTTTTGCTCCCAAAATGACAAGATGATGAAACTGTCAGTAAGAACAGCTGAAAAACAAATAAAAATTGTCACCCCTGTAATACCTGCCACCAATGACAAAACAAATTACTGAACCCTCCACTGAGACATTGTAAAATGCATTTTTTCAAGACCATGTCTTAAATATTACACTGAAGCCTTTGTAATCTCCTAAAAGACATCAATGTGTCATCTTGCCAGGACCTTTTTAGAAATGCGAAATAAAGCTTAGGGGGTACTCAGATTAAATAAACCTGAATAAATTATTTTATACCAAGTTATCGCAATAATCCGACATATATTTTATGCTTCCTCCTCCTCCATTCTCACGTGTCTTCCTTTCTCAGTTCTTTGCCTATAGTAACTGTAACGCCCACTGATATTTTGGGAATGTGACTTTATACAAGCATTGTTAGCGTCTGGGCTGGCCAAATGCAAATCATTATTTGAGCTGCATTTGGTAATTTGACATTGCCAGTCAAGCATAAACATAAAAGGATGTAGCAGCAGTAACATTCCAGATGGAACTGCAATAGTCAAGAATGTTATTCCTTACAGCACTTGTGCTTTAGGGTGATATGAACCTGTTGAAAGCTTTATATGTGATATTTTTCCTCTGTACCCTTGATCTATAATCACATGGATGTCCAACAGTAGATGCGCTCTCTTACAGTCTGGAAAATTGCCATGGAACCACAACGTATAACAAGAGTGTTGCAAAAGGTATATGGAAATATTCAAATGTAAAATAGACTAAGTAGCACAGTGAAAAGGGAAAATATTGGTTAACTGAGAAAATGAGTGATTTAACACTGCCAGCAATCTAAGGTTTTCCTAAAACAGCTCTCTGAACCAAAACACATCTAAAAAGATTACTGAGTATTTAGTGAATCAGTGAGATAGTAACAGATGACTACAAATTATTCTTAGAGCCAAATCTGAAATAAAAAATGGCGAGACTGTTGTGAAGTAGTAAATGCAGAGATCCATACTACAAGGACACTGCTAGATAAAATCTTACCCAGTTAAAAAATATTCCTAAAAATTGCTTGTTTTTGTGACTAATACCATCATACAGCCCTAAGGATTTTAAAATTTGTTTAATAATTTACGTTGCTAGTTTACTCCTGCATTATATTCAGCTTGAGCAGAAAAATGGAAATATCGGTTTTGCTTTTGTTTACAGTCTATTGTAAAGCTAGTTTCAGTTTCAGATTGTCATGTACTAACACAGTTCTGCAATATCTGGTGCATAATACTGACAGGGAATGTTAAAATCCAAACAGTTGACATGAAAACAATCCTGTTACTACTAGGTTTTGTAACAAAATTTGGATTTAAGCACTCGTGTGGAGTTATGGTGCATGATATCCCAGCGTATATTTTGTTAGAGTCCCAATATTTTGTATTACTATAGTTATATTTTCCATAGAGAGAGAGGCACACCAAATCTCAAAACCTATGAACTCTGGGGGGAAAGAGACATTATTCCAAGAGAAGATGGGAACATAGAGTGGACAAGTTCTTGTCTCAGAAAAGCTGTATTTGGCTGAAAGGGCAAACAGGAAAGAAAGGTTTTGGCTACAAGGTAGGCCTATCTAATCAGAGCCATCTGGTGTTACTGTAGCAGCAATGCTAAATTACAGGATTGGCTATAGGAACAGATTTCAAATAGGTGGGAAGGTCAGGAGAGGCATTAGCGATTATTGAAAAAACTGAAGACCAAGCACAATTTTCATTTTCTGAATTAGGCATATATTTTGGAGTCATCCATAACATGCAATACTCAGGAATCTTCTTAGGGTAGGGGTAGAGGAAATCTAGGAAAAGGCCCATTTCCTGCACAAGACTGGACCTAACAACATTGGTCAGGCATGATCATAGCATTTTCCACAGAGGCCCTTTAAAGAGAAATGCTATGCATCTGTGTTGTCACAGTCCCCTAACACGTTTTCAAATATTAGACAGGCATTTCAAACCTGCCATAAGACCTCAAAGTTTCAAGTTAAGAATTTTAAACTTCAAGAGGCATTGCTGCTAATTATAAAAATCCTGCATGTAGCTTTGATTTACGAAGATGCACTTTTCCATAATAATCTATTCTTAATTAAGCCAATCCTTACCTATATCACAATATATATTAAACTAAACCATCAACAATGATTAAGTCTCTCTCTCTCCTTTACTATGGAAGCCACAATCTTGTAACTACTGCATATAAAAAAACCTTAGTTTAATAAAAATATTAACATTGGTGGCTAAGCATTCAATAGTCAGGAAACACTAAAATTAATACCGCATGGGAGACCTTAATTCTACTCCGTTTGCGTGCATTATGCTACAATCTATAATTTTAAATTGGCACACTACTTAAAATCATACAATAAAACTATCATAAAAATTCTATGCATCTGAAGCAGCTTTACTCTAGATATGATGTAATAGGTAAAATGGACTATTATATCCTCTTTAGATTTAGACTTCTCATATTAAAAACCACCAGGAACTAAGAAGTTATATTAATAATTTTTTTAGCACCCACCACAGGTGAGGGGGAGAGGCCTAAGATGATACATCCCCCCCCGCCCGTGGCATGGACTTAACACAACTCTCCTGCTGCCCTCCTGCCGGGAGCCCTGTGTTGGCTGCACCACCATGGCAAAGAGTCCCCTGCCTACCTGGCAGCAGCAGGGAACATAACTCTGAGCTGCTGTCCCCACTGCTGCTGGGCAGGCAGGGGACACCTCAACATGGTGGCACAGCCAGCACATGGTTCCCAGCAGAAAGCAAGCAGGGCAGAGAACCCTGAGGCTGCAGCAGGCAGCCTGTATCCACCCCCCATCCCATGCACAAATTTGGGGGGCATATGTCCCTCCATGCCTCCCTTTCTGAGAGTGAATGCAGTGGCAGGGTGCTGCTCCCCACTGCCCGCTCCCTGGAGAAGCTTCCCATGGCTCTATCCCACTCCCTGGCCTGCCCTGGGCCCCATGCACTGCCCCAGGCCCAGCCCGTGGCCCACACCCTCCCTCACTTGGGGGCCTCAATCTGCCCTCCACTATCCCCCACCCCCATAGATTTACCTGTAGGGAGGCGGGGGAGCTTCTCTCCACTGCTGCCTGGGGCTGTATTCCTGGCCACATGCATGGGCGCACACAGACATACACGTAGCACTCCCTGCGTCCTGTTCCCTTTAGCCCCTGGCAGGTTGGAACTCTTCAGCCTGCCATTTCCTGTTTTTTTCCGTTGTGAACAGAAAACTCATATCCCTGCATGATACTGGGAATCCGGGACTAATGCTGTCCCAGACTAAAGGCAGCCCAGGACCGGAACTTGATGTTCCCATTTTGGGACTGTCCTGCCCCCATTTTTAATCTGACATTAATTTGATTCCAAATTGGCAAGAAACTTTTGCAATGAAACTCATCCTTATTAATCCTCTGAAGTATGTATTACTGGACATTTTTGTGCCCAAATAATTTATTACATTTGAAGCACCATGGATTCTTTATGGATCATACTTTATAATTTCAAAAACAAAATTTAAACACTCAAAACTACATCAAATTAAAACAATTTTCTTTAGCCAAGGCTGTATCCTGGTTCTTCAGGAGGCTATTTTCATGCCAAAATTTTAATTTTCAACTTCCAGTTTCCTGGGCAATAAAGATGTCCAAAAAAGACATCTGAAGATTTTTTTTTTTCAAATAATGGAAAAACAGGGGGGGGAGTTGTCCTTTTCTCTTATTGTACAAGAATGGTTCAGCCATTTTTTAGTATAAACTTTAGCAAATACTTGAGCTTCAGAGACAGACATTTTTAAATTAAAGCCTGAAAACTTCTGAATGCTCCAAGCAAGCAAGAATAAATCACTATGCTGTATCCTTAAATACAGAACCAGTTTGAACACTACAGTTTTGTTGACACTGTTATGTTTGTTAATATTTATGACTTTAAGAATACTTTATTGGATTGTAGTAGTTATTTATAAAAAAAAGTAAATGTGCTTACAAAAAATGTAAAAGCCACAGAATGCTAAATTAAAGTTTCACAAATAACTTTAGTTTTGCTACACCATGTTCTCCCAAGCATTAAAGCCAATCATTCTGGATATGATAGGGGAAAATACACAGTCAAGTTAACAGTCTAGCTGAGATGAAATAACAGACTTTGGGCTGAGGATGAAAGACTAGAGGAAGAAAGAATCAAAACAGTGTGCTCCACACCCATCGTATTTCCAAGTTGTCAAAAAACCTGAGATGAGGTGGGAATGTTTAATATAAAAGAGAATGTTAATACAGTTTTATCCTCACAAATTTGCAAGAAAAGAACGTACTGCTTTATCATTTTAAACTGCAATACACAGAAAAGAACAAATTAGGATGAGAAAGCCTAGCTCATATAACAAGGCCCCTTGTTTGGGAAGTGTATGGGGTGTGGAACATAACAGATTCCTAAACATCAAAAGGAGCTCTTTTGCACTCATATTTAAGGACAAAATGCGGACTTAAGTTTTCTTTGACTATGTGGAATAGAAAATTCATTCAATATTTGACAAGACTGAAAACTTTGATGTTTAATATTATTTTTAAACTGCTCTTGGTCCTGAGGCTTGTAACTATGGCATTACATGCAATTACTTGTTGTGTTTGCAAGTCCCCAGTGGCAATAATTAGTCTACCTGTTGACATACTATTTCTCCAGCTCTATTGTTAATGTAGGCAATTGATTTGCACATAGGTGTAATTACCATCACTGATGGTGTCGGAGATGAGCTTCCCCACCAGGGTCCTGTCAATCACCACTTTCTCCAGCTGAGGCCCAGAAATGCTTAGGGACACCAGTACACCTGAATGAAAGATGAGCTAAATCCAAGTAGCCAGAAAACAAGACATCAGGAATTAATAATCAAGTAACCAGAATGTTCCAAAGCATACATTAACATTTCTTTGTCATGTAGTAATTTCATCTGGAAAAAAAAGACCTCTCCTAATGACAAAATATGTTACACACATACTCTGAAAGCGTTATCAATTAAAGGAAAATGTATTGTGACTGTAAATTACATATATACAACAAATAATGAACACTTCAAGACTGGGCCAATATTCCCCATATTTTACATATGGGGAAACATATGAATTCACATATTGGATATTGAGATTGAAACCCTGCACTGTGCGAGTAAAAGGACAACTGAATCAACTTACTTTTAAGTATTAAAGGCAGACTATATTGCATTTTTCCCTGTTATTTTTCATTTTTCTAAATAAACAAGGCTAAACCTGCTATGCTGCAAAGAGATTTTTGTGGACATAGACACCTTCAGAATTTAGCCCAAGATTTAAGGAAAAATGGCTAGTGATTTAAATGCTACAGTTTTGGGGTGATTGATCTCAGACACTTTAGAGAGACCTGATTTTTAGAAAGCAGCTTGCACAGTACTTAAGTGCACCATCTTCTTCTGTACCTGTACTTTATCTGGCAAAAACTGGGTTTTTGAGTGCTGGCAAAAACTGGGTTTTTAAAATATATAATATTGTATAATTGTAAATTTATAATTATACATTTTATAATTATTATTATTATTTATAACATTCCTCATAGAAGTTACACTAGTGCTTTCATTTCACTGTAGTTACACGTAGAAGAAAACTGTTAAATGTCCATCCCTGTCGTCATTCATATGCTCTTTAACTTGTGTAATAGTGGGCACATCTACACGTGCCCCTACAGTGCCAATGTTACTGTACCGTCATTTAGTAATTCCTTTTGGAAGTACTAAATGACGGCACAGTAACAGCTATATTGCATGGTGCCAGTGGTGCATGGTTATTTTTAGTCGCTGCGTTGCTGTAGCAATGCACCGTACCAAAGGAGAGTATTGCTACAGCGACGTAGCTGTGGCATCACGATTTCTGCCCACCAACAGTATGTTACCATAGCTTGTTGCTATGGCAACGTAGCATTGTGTGTGGATGTGCCCACTATCTACTAATCACAAGGATAGGCACCTGATACAGTCATGTACTAGTAATGCCTAGTATGATGTCTCAAACAGCCCCAGAAAGAGGATGGAAACATAAAGCCTAAATACAGTTTCAAAGAGTACTACAGGGATACTTCTAAGTTAATCAAAGGAACGCTGAACTACAAGGGACCACCTGGATCATTATGTCCAATCCCTATGACTGCAAGCAAACATCCCTGCTTACTTAATTTCTATTTAGGCCCCGACAGATGCTGGAGTAAAGGAGCAATGGGATCTGACGTGGGATCTCAACAATTGCACTTCCTGCCATGCCACATGTGTGGCAGGGGGTGCAATTGTGGGGTCCTGAATCAAATCCCATTGTGCCATATTGCCTGTGCAGGGGACCCTGATCCTGGGTTTCCCCTGTACTGGCCAGTAGCAAAGCTTGGCTCCCAGTCACGGGAGCGCACCTATATGCTGATGGGGCTTCTAGCACATGGTGTACTCCTCCCGCTAGAAGCCCTGCTCAGCTGACAGAGCTGCCAGCCATGAAAGTGCATGGTGTACTCCCCTGACTGAACTTACAGCTGGAGGAGCACACCATGGGCTTCCCTGGCTAGAAGCCCTGATCATCTGACTGGGCTTCCAACCACAGGAGTGCATGGTATGCTCCCACAACTGGAAGCCCAATAAACAGACAGGGCTCCCAGCTGGGAGATGCACCAGTGCAGGGCGGGGGCACTCATCTGACCAGGCTTCTAGGTGTGGGAATGCATGGTGTGCTCTCTTGGTTGGAAGCCAGATGATCTGATCAGAGCTCTCTCTCAGCCATGGGAGCACATGGGGCACCCCAGCTGTATGCTCCAGAGGCTGGGCACTAGTCACACATTCAATTAAAGATGTTATAAGAAGCAGCATGAGAGGCCTGCCCGAGCTCCCACCCCAAACTAGGCCCCTCCAGTGACACGTCACCGGAGAAGGGCCCCTCAGTTGTCCAGCACCCCATCCTGCTAAGCTCCTCAGCTACAATCTCCACCAGCAGCTCAGGGAGCCCAAGGGCCAGCCACGTAGCACATGACACCAGTGGCCGCTAGCAGCACCAGATCCTACTCGGGGTGGGAGGGGACTGGGTACTTGCATGCTGTGCCCCACCACCACAGGACACCACCTGGAGCCACATGCTGTCAGCACTATCTGGGACCAGCTGGAGCTGCTGGCCATGCCAGCCCCAGCCACGTGGTAAGGCCTGCACGAGGAGGATCCTCCCCACCCTTGCCCCACCTCTCCTGCCTGCACCCCTTGGCCCCAGGTTCCCCACCACAGCACACAGAGAGGCGGGACACAGTGCAAAACTTTATTCAGCAGCCTGTACCCCCACAGCTAGGCAGTCACAGGGCACCTGTGAATGCTTGACGCCCAGTCTGAGGCCAGGCAGAGCATGGCCCCTGGTACAGACCAACTTATCTAAGAAATATTGCAAACTCTCACAAACAGCTTCTGTCTCATGGCTTTATAGGGCCCACAGCTGCATGTGGGGGAGAGGCTGCCCTTGACAGCCAGGATGTGGACTCAGGGTCACCACCGCCCAAAGTTAGGGCCAAGGATGTGCTGGCCCCACCAGAGGAGAATGCAGGACCACACAATCTTCCAGCAGCAGCTGGTGGCAATGTTGCAGGACTGCCGTGAGTTCTCATGGGCCTGGCAGACAGAGGACATCGCCCACAACCAGGCAGACTGAGTTCTGGGCAGAACTCCTGGACCTGGAGCACGAGCAGCTCCAGCTGCTGTGGGAGCAGAATGCCATCCTGGTCCAGGCAGTGCAGGCCATAGATGACAACTGCTGGGTGGATACTGTTTTGGCCCTGGTGGTTGTGTTCGTGCTGTCCACTGCCTGGCCCCCAACCCTAGCCCTGCCTGTCCCCTGGCAGCCATCCGCCACCCTACAGAAGGCTGCTGCCTGGGCCTGGGAGGAGGTCATGCGTCTGCTTCCAGCCCGGCCCCCACTCTGGGTCCTGCAACACCCAGCCCCCCCGCCTGGGCCCAGCCCCCCTGCTTGCCCCGGCTTCACACAGGTGCAGAGCCAGAGCTGCCTGGAGCAGGGCCAGGATCACACCAGCCCTGCTGACCCTGGCCACCAGCTGCTGGAAGGGGAGCCATCTGTGCCGAGGGACCAGTGGCTGTTGTTGCCCCTGGGTGAACCCCCTGCCTGCCATACTTACTGTGGCTTCTATACCCATGGGGGAATATCCAGAGGCCAGAGTGCTGGCCGCCTGCCCCTGGGCTCTGCCCCCTAGGTGCCCCCACCTATGGTCCTTCACTCCAGGATGGCCCACAAATGACACTGTATGTAGTTTTCATAAGGAAGGTTTTTTATTGTTGGTGGGTGGGGCGGGTGGTGGAGGGACTCTGTGGAGGGGGAAAGGAGGTTCTTTGCTGAGTGTGGGGAGGAGGGCTCTGTTTGTTAGAGGAGTGGGGAAGGGTGCTGTGGTTGATGCGTGGGAAATAAAAACTTGTTCTTGTCAGACATGTGCAGTGAGCATGGTGGGGGTGGGCAGGGTGGGTGGGGGGGTCTGTGGGCCGTGATGCAGGCAAGCTGCAGCAGGAAGTGCTGGAGGGGGTGGTTGGGCAGGGCTTCCTGTACCTGGTACCCTGGCCCCATTAGCAGGTATGCGGCTCTCCTGGGGCCTCAGCAGGGAAGGCCTACCACTGTTGATGCCACTGCAAGGGGTATTCCTGCTCCTGCTGCCAGGCGTCCTTTGTGCCCCACCCCTCCTCCTCCCAGGCCTCTTGGAAGAGCTTCTCTGGGTCTTGCAGATGCTATGCAGCACACAGGCTGCAGTGACCTGGCGGAGGTTGTCCTTGATGACCTGAAGGTGAGCAATGAGGCAGTGCCAGCAGTCCCTGAGGTGACAAAAGGCACACTCCACCAGAGAGTGGGTCTGGCCCAGGCACCGGTTGAAGTAGGACTGGCGGGGGTCCAGGTGGCTGGTGTAGGGCCACATGAGCCAGGGCAGGAGCAGGTAGGTGGGGTCTTCAATGAGGAGGGGCAGGATAGCCATGGCACTCAGCTGAAGGTCCAGCATCCCAATGAGGAGAAGCAGGATAGCCATGGTGCTCAACTGCAGGTCTAGCAACCCTCGGCATGAAGCGGCTGCTCTCTACCAGGCGTAGCAGGCCAGTGCTCCGGAAGATGCAGGTGTCGTGGGCACTGCTCGCCAGCTGGTGGTCATGTGCGTGAAGGTGCCATGGTGGTCTATGACAGCATTGAGCACCATGGAGTGAAAGCCCCTCTGGCTATAAGAGGGGCGGTCTCCATGGGGCAGGCAGGTGATGGGGATGTGGGCCCCATCCAGGGCCCTGATGCCCTGTGGAAATCCCAGAGCATAGATTCCCACCACCACCTCCAGGGGGTCATGCATGCAGAGCACGGTGTCTGCTAGCACATCCTGGAGGGTCCCACACACCTCCAGGATGGCCTCCCCAATGGTGGCTTTGCCCAAGCAGGTACATGTGGCCAGCATGAGTAGGGTCTGTGGGGAGAGGCAGCTGCATGCCGGTGTCCTGCCACTATAGGTGGGACCAGAGCTGTTCCACAAAGTCCTGGAAGGTGGCCCAGGACATGTGGAAGGCCTCCAGCCACTGCTCGTTATCCTAGGTGCGCCGGATGACATGCCACTACCAGTTCTGGTAGTGCCCAGGTGCACCCAGAGGCAGTGGGGCAGGAGGCCCATGAGGGGTGATGGTGGCCCCGATAGTGGCATCCAGAAGCCCCTTGTTGGTGTCCCTGCCAGTGGCAGGTGGCAGCGGCGACCTTGGTACGGCATGCTGTGGCTAGGCAGGTGGTCGCTGTGTTGGGGGGAGCTGGGCAGGGCGAGATGGCCATGGGCCAGG